CTGTACCAGGTTACAAGAGTGTTAGAAAGAGAGTAGAGTTCTTTCTCTTTGTATTTGTAATATCACAAGGTGGAGTGTCTATGTAATTGTGTTAGAAAGTTAAGAGAGTCATGTGGATTGGCTATAACAGAAATTCTGGTAATAGATACGAGATGTCGAGTAAGATGTCACGACAGTGGGATCAGGACAATATGACAACACCAACAATTATGCAGTTAAATTAAATGTTTGAATTAAATAACACAATCAATTGCTAACCCAGTCCGGTGCAACCTCACATACATTTGGGGGCATCCAAGTTAGAAAGGAAATCCACTATAATAGTATTAGTTTGAAGCCTCAGTAAACAGCCTCTGGTTTACAATTTCTCACCTAATTACTACCCATGTTATTTCTACATAGGAACTCCTATATATGAGACCCCTCTCACTTCCCTCAATTACGCAACAGTGTTAAACTCAATAATAATGAACAATAGAAGACACACTTACAATGACAAAAAATCCACTCTTTGCTTAAAAGCTTATGAGTGATTACAACTCAAAACTCAGTCCAATTCAAGCACCCAAGAGGTACATGAATGGCTCACAAATGCAAAAAAAACAACATAATCCAACTCAGATATCAAAGTGATATAAGAGTGAATCACAAATAACAAAGACATATTAAACAATAATACTCCTTCTTTCAATACATGACTTCTTTAACGCATTAGGTTTAAAACTGTACCTTTAATAACTTTTGATCAGCATGGGCTTGGGCTCTTCAACTAAATAATTTGCAAATCCCAAAACAACAGCTTCAAATCTTCTCCAAGCTCTTCTGCACAAAAATAGGAAATAAAAAGAAAGTTTCCTTAAAAAGTATCCAAGATCCTTTTTATGAAACAAATGCACTTCTGGCATAGACATATGTTCCTAAATTCTTCCTCTTTAGATTGCGGTAGAGTGTGAACTAAAATCATATAGAATCTCACACTTCAAATAACAAATCTTCCAAATACACAAAACCATAATCTTCTGGTATAACATGTCATGACATCATGTCACAACATCGTGCTGCTCATTAATGATGTCTGACTGACATGCCAAGACATTTGTCTCAACATCTTGCTGTGAAACTTATTTTAACAAAATTGTTGTCAATCCCAAAATTACAGAACTTACAATCTCCCCATTTGGCAAGTTTTGGTTAAAACAACCTTTACATAAATTACTTGAGACACAGAAACAACCATAACCGCAACAATCTAAAAGAACCACAAAAAAACATACACAAGATAATCAAAAGCACACTAGAACAAATCAGAGGCATATACAGCAGAAATAAAAGGAACCTCACAAAGAGAGATAAACTGTCATATAACAAGAACTAAGAACTTTCAAAACAACTGAAGCATCATGTAAGGACATCATGTCTGACATCACATCAATAAGAACAAACCTATGCACCAAAACACCAAACAACTAAACCCTTCATGAATTGCATGACCATCAACTCGGATGCAGATATAGCTCCCCTTCAAGATTACAACCACAGCACTTCTCATTCAGTAAAACAAGCACAGGCATACGTGTGCTACAAAAAAATCTACAAAGAAAAATAAATTCTCCCAGACAAGAGATGGTATGAGGTCAGAATATAAAGTATGACATCACAGCACCACAAAAGACACCGTAGAGAAAGAGAAATTATTCTCATTCTCCCCCTGAATTACACTCCCATTCAACCATAGACCATTACAGTGGAGAAACACCAACACCAATAGACCAAACACACAATACTTTCCCCTTTTTAGCCATAAATTAGCCAATAACAAAGACATTAGATTAATAGTAAGTTCTTTAACAAGGAGGACATTGTCAAGACTATGGAATCCAGTACAGGCTGGTATTCTAACTCCCTTAATTTCACCTTTGACACCATCACCAAACGTGACATAACTGGTATAGTGAGACTTAATGTCCACCAGAAACTTCTTTACTCCACTCATATTTCTAGAACATCCACTTTCAAAATACCTGTCTTCTTTAGCTGAAGCTCTGAAAGAAGTGTGAGCAATAAGTGAAGTAGTAACTTCCCTGGGAAACCATTTCTTTCTAGTTTTAACCACACCTTGATTAACCCTAGGTTGTGTTAGACCCTTTGGATAGCCATGCAACTTGAAGCATAAGGGCTTATATGACCAGCTTTCCCACAATAATAACATCTCCAATGCAAGGCCTTGCTTCAAGCTTGAGTATTTTGATGTCTGGAATGATGTTAAAACATATGTGTAGACATCATTTTCTCAGGCTTCCTTCTAGGAGAAAAAAAACTTTGTTACATGGGTGTCTCCTTTCAGAGATTGAAAATTAAAGCATATACCTTTTAGGTCTCCACCCCTCTTTCCAACTTGAAGAATTTCATCTGACATATCAAAACCATTGTTCAACATTCTTACATATTTGGTCATGTTTTCAAGTTTGGAAGTCAACAGAGTTACCTCATCCTACAACCCATAGATGGTGGATACATATTCTTCATTTTCAATTTGAAGTTGAGAAATATTTTTCTTCTGCTTGTCGCTTTTGATACACATATCTTTGTAATAAGCAACCAGTTCAGCATATTATCATACCTTAAATTTGTCCTACCTGTGTATAGCTTTCACTTTGTACATCCATCCACCAACTACCATTCAAAAAATCAAAAAAAAAAGTGTTGTTACTTTCATCTAAGCCAAGTTTCACTTGAGGACATCAAGCCACGAGTGTGTGTTGAAGTTCGTCTAGTTTTGACCTAATTTACGTCAGGCAAGATTTTGTTTCAAGACCAATCAAGAATACGGTGTGCAATTCAAGGTGTCTGAGGTCTCAATTAGGGTTTCTGTGTCATTTTAGATTATTGGTATGTGGATAAAGTCATCAAACTATGCCAAGTTATCAGTGCTTCGTAGTTGAATATCGTTAAGAATCAAGTCATTTTTAATCAGGGCTTTGGGACCATATGGTTCATATCAGGTCATGTTCTATTAATTTCAAGTGAGTCCATGGTTTTAAAATTCCAATGTGTCTAAAGATCCAGACTATTGCGTGATTCAGTTTCTCAGAATTTATTCAAGAATTGTTGGGATTTGGTCCTTAATACTTTTGGAGATTCAGTTCGAGTGTGATGCAAATATCGTTTCAAAGCCCTTTTTTTTAATCTTTTTTTTTCTCATCACCATTTTAATTTAATATATTACCTTTTTTTTTCTCTTTCTTTTGAGGCCCATTTATATTTTGTAAACCATTGTCAATTTCCAAACTACAAAGATAGTGGAAGCCCTATCATTAAGCCCATTACATTTCTTTTTGCAAAAAAAAACACTACAAAAATATACTACAATTAAATCATGCATTTCCAAATGGCTTGAACTATACATCAGTAGATTTCCAATCCACAAAAAATAGCAGCACATGGTTCAATGCATCATAATGTCGTGAAGCCATAATCCACAAGCAATACCTACACCAAAAATTGACAAAGTTAACATAACTTTACATACTGACTAAACTAATTCCTAGTCACGCAGCAAAACCTCACCACTTTTTTTTTTATTCACAACAATACACAAAATGCACAACAAATTGTATCCTGCACAAGGACGATTCACCATGCATACCACCTCAACCATAATGCTTCATATCTATCACCCACTCGCAACCTGCAAAAAGGTTGTTCTCAACGAATGAATCCGTACGACCCTACAAGAAAATCTACAAAACAAAAACAACATGACTCTGTACGATCCATTTGGCAACAAATACACACCAAAACAACACGGCTTGAAGGCGGAAGTGACGCAATATCAGATTACACAACTTGGACCTTCCACAATGTCACATTTTTCTGTCACAAAGTCATCTCTCCAAATTCCTTCCACAAATACCCTTTCTATCAACTATAAATGAGACCTTAATTATTCATATTTGAGGGTTGAAGTAAGAATTTGAGCAAGGATTGATTAAACTGAGGCAAACATGTATCGAGACGGGACATGACTTGAGGTGATTTGGAGGCGAGGACGGTTCAAAAGAGAGAGCGAAGGCGGTTGAAGGTCGGACTGATGTGCCCTTGACTCTGTTTTATTTTCATTTTTTACTTTGAATCATGTTCTCCGCGATGATGAAGAGGAAACTTTGTTTTCTCTTCTGAGCATTGTGTCTTCTCTTGGAAGTGTTGCCCTGTTTTCTCACAAGTTTTGTCCATTTGTGTTGTTAGTCATGGTAGCCGCGTCGTGTTAAAGCCAGGTGAACGAAGTGTGTGGCTGTTGGGTCAGATGGGCTATGAGGCCCAAGTTGCTTCTAGGTCACCACCCTTTCTTTTTGGAAAATTTTACCCCATACCCCTACATCTATCCCCACACCCCTACACTAAAAAATATTGGACCAAAATGCCCTTCCTTAAATAGTATAATTTAAAAAAAAATTCTCATTTCACTTCATTTGCACTGAAAGACTTCCGGAACACACAATTTTATCTCTCGAATCGGAACTCTACCTTAAAGTCTTCCGGAAGTCGTTTTTCGCTCTAGCCAAACCGGAACTCTTCAAGTAAGTCTTCCGGTTCGTTTGTTTTTTTTTTTCCTTCACCGGAAGACTTAATGCATGTCTTCTGGTATACAATTTCTTGGATTTCTTCACCGGAAGACTTCGATTAAGTCTTCCGGAACACAATTTTCCTAATTTCTTCACCGGAAGACTTTCTTCATGTCTTTCGGTTCATTGTTTTTTTTTGTTTTTTTTTAAATTTATTTATTTATTTATTTATTTTAATTTTTAATTAATTTATTTATTTTAATTTTTAATTTATTTATTAATTTACTTTTTAAAATTTTTAATTATATTTATTTATTATTATGGTTTTAATTTTTATTTTATTTTTTTTAATTATATTGATTTTTTTTTCCAGTGGTGCGCACACGAGGCAGAGATGGTAGGATCCCTCGCGGACTAGGACGGGGCGAGTCCTCCAGGATGGCTGAAGAAGAGCATTTTGATGCATCTGCATCAGCATCCGAACCAGTTGGATATCCAGGAGGACCATATGATACGTCTCTGTTAGTTAAGTACGAACAACATATTGCATACCGTATATGGTTCGGTCAGGTAAGTAAACGAAAATTATTTAATATTGACGGTCATTTCGAATTTTTAATATTGAATTTTATAATATATTTACTTTTAATTTTTTTCATGAGAGAGGGGCGAAGAAAGAATTAAAGGTGGCTGGACATGGGTTGAAGTTGGCTCAGAGGGTTCCAATACAGCTACCTAGAGAGATGGAGAGATGAATATCTAGGTCTGGTTTAGCTTCACTACAGAGAACCAATTTATCAAAGATAAACACAAACCTAGTTTCCGCTTTTGCAGAGAGGTGCCATCTAGAGACATCATCATTTCACATGCCGTTTGGTGAGATGACGATTACTCTAGATGACGTATCTTGCCTGCTTCACTTGCCCATCAGGGGAGTTTTCTGGAGCCCTGAAGATATCAGTGAAGCCCTTGCTGTTGAGTGGGTTGTTGATCATTTAGGAGTGTCACAAAGAGTAGCACAACAACAAGTCCGTGAATGCAGGGGTTCCTACTACAAGCTGGAGTGGTTATATGATCTGTTCGTTGAGCATAGAGCTGCATCTAGATGGCATTATGCCACTAGAGCTTATTTGCTGATGTTGGTGGGTTCCACGATTTTCGCGGACAAGACGTTTACGCTTGTCGAGGCACGATACCTCTCACTGTTTATAGACTTGGATGGCTTATCTGGATACAGTTGGGGAGCAGCTGCGTTGGCTACTCTTTACAGATATCTCGGAGATGCTTCCATGTTCAGCTGTAAGCAGCTTGGTGGTTATCCGACTCTCTTACAGGTATTTATTTTAATTTAGTATATTTTGTTTTAATAAATTTTATTATGTTATAATTAATTATTTTAATGTTAATAACCATATTAATTTTGTGACAGTGCTGGATTCATGAGTATTTTCCAACACTTGGAAAAAAAGGAGAGAACTGGATACCAGCTCATAATGTGGGTCTCCCTCGAGCGATGAGATGGTCATATAGGCAAGGTGCCTTGAAGGTGGATGAGTTGCGACCTATTCTGGATGAGCTGACACCTGCTGATGTCATATGGCGCCCATTCGAGAATCGTAGAGTATGGCGTCAGTTCGATGAGTTATGTCTATATAGGGGGTGTCTGAGGTGGGGTGACACTATTGTTCCATATTTGCTTGACAGATGTATGCGTCAGTTTGGATACAGGCAATATGTTCCACATCCACCTATTGATCACAGGATGGCTGGTGATATTGATGTTGACTGGATTAGTTACCATCAGAGCGTCCAGAATGTGATTCGTCCGACAACACCGGCCACCACCCCATACGAGACAGATGATGGATATCTTGAGTGGTATTATCGTGTCTCTCATCCTCGTTTGGTACCGATACCCTATCATGATGCACCAGTAGAGATGCCAGCAGAGATGCCAGTTCCAGTATATGAAGCAGGACCATCTGATCCTAGTTGGGCTCGTGTGTCTTTGTTGATTCATTGTTATCTTCAGCAGGCTGGTGCTGAAGATGATGACCCACAATTTGCGAATTTGTTCGAGGCTTTACATATTGCTCGATCATAGTGACTTATATTTTGTATTTATGATTATATGTTAACTTTTAGACTCATTTGACCCACAGTTTGCGGATTTGTTCGAGGCTTTACATATTATAAGTTTTGAAATTAAAAATAAGTAACAAAATTCATTATTCATGTTTTGAAATTAAAAATGAGTAACATAACTTATAATGTATAATGTGTTGGTAATATAGGCGTAAGTTGTTGCCAATGTGTTAGACGTGGTGCAAATCCTAGCATCCAAGATGTTGCTGCTGGAGAACGAAAATTCTTCCAATCTACTGTCACCGGTGGCAATGGAAACCCTTCTTTCATGTTCACCTAAATAAAAAAACAATCAAAATAGTAAGTAAAAAATAAATAAAAATACTTAGGGTTAATCGCATTATCAAAAAAACAACTAAGTACCTGAACCCAATGATTTCCATTTACAAAACCAATGCAATAGATTGCTGCATTCGGTGAAAATGAAGTTGTCATAGGGAAGAAAGTCCAGCATTCAATTCCTAAACAGACAAGTACAACATTATAACGATTCGCTATCATGTAACCCATATCTGGTAGAGTTAACCATTTATGTGGTGGTTGAGAACCGACTTCCTCTATCATCAAAGATTCTCTCACCACTGCTAACTGATCAGTAAATAAATTGGCATACAAACTTGATCTTTCATTATGTATTATTTCCAACCCCAAGTCTCAACGAATCATTGACCAACCATCTTCACCCAATCCTTGCAATGAAACAATGACTCTAAATCCACAATTACCATCTGATACAACATTAACTACATCATCAATATATGACCGAATGTGATTAGGAAACTGAAGGATGAACTGCTTAGATGACTGTGATAATTTCAACTTCTTCGAAGCTTGTGATGGTTGAGATTTCTTTTGTGAAGACTGTGATAATTTCAACTCCTTCGAAGTTTGTGATGGTTGCGATTGCATCTGTGAAGATTGAGATGCTTGATCAACATACTCGTGATAAGAAGGGTCTCTATAAACATCATATCCTATTGGTTTTTTGTCTTTCTTCTTGACTCCCCCTTTAGTTTTTATTTTCTCAGGTGGTGGACACATAGAAGTCATTGTAGGGAAGGCAAGTTCAAACACCCTACTTTTTAATGCCTTTTTCCCAACAACATCCAGTGACTTAAACCTTTTCCATAACTCATCTATTGCACTACTCATATCCACCTCTGATCCATCATCTACGTCTTCATCCAACTTAACTTCCATACTTAGTTTTCTCCAATGAACATGTACAACATCTATTGGTATCGATATACCATCAATTCTATATCCTGTCAACTCACAAGCACAAGGTAATCCGTAGGTTGTTCTAAGAGTACAACGACATATTTCCTTGTTAGTTCCAACATAATCAACTCGTTTTAACTCTTCAGCAATGCGTCTCAATGCATTTCGAGATACTGAACCACGTAAATTATTGTAAAATGGACTTACGTGGGCATGCTCAACTTCATAAAAACTCTTTTGAAAAGAAGCTCTAATATTACCCAATTGTAACTTTAAATTGTCATTCATAGCCTCTCAACATTTGACCATGTCACCAATACTGTTCCCTAACATTTGCTTTAACTTCCAATGAGCAGACTCAACCCTAAAATTAATACAGATTAAAAATATTTTTAAAAAATTCAAAATAAAATACAATTTATAAATACTAAAAATAAATACATACCGATTAGTCGTGGTGTTACCCAAATGTAGCACTCGATCAATCCATGCTCCAACAAATCTTTGTCTATGTGGTGTCAACCATGTGTCCTTCACATAATCAATAAATTTATTACAATCAACACACGCCTGCTCAAGTTGGTTCAACCTTTGATCATACTCAACCTCATCACTAGCCCATACAACATCCGTCCATAAATCGTCAATTTTCTTTTGCAATTCACTAGCCACATATTGTTTCCGTTTTGCACCAACATTCTTGTTAATATGAAATCGACATAGCATATTGATCGACTTTGGAAACACAATTTCAATGGCTTTCATCAAAGCAAGATCTCTATCTGTCAAAATCACTTGTGGACACAACTCTTTCTTCACAAACAATTGTTTAAGCTTATCTAGCACCCAACAAAAAGTCTCAGTTTGCTCAGACTCAATATAGGCAAATGCGATGGCAAAAGTCAACTCGGTTGATGTCATGCCAACAATTTCAAACAGAGGTTGCCTATATTTGTTTGTCTTGTAAGTGCTGTCCATAACTAGCACAATAGGAAAAATATTCAACAATTTAACTGAATCTGGATGAGCCCAAAAGATATCTCTAATTACTTCAGAGTCATCTCTTTTTCTACTCCAATAAACATAACCTGCTTCCTCAACGAGCTTAAACAAATGTTGTATCTCACTTCTAGGACCTCTTATATTTTTTTCTATCATACTCTTCTGTTTGTATATTTGCGTGATCCGAGTGACATTATCTGGATCTTGCTCTTGCAATGAAAGCAATATATGTCTAGGTGGAACCTTTCTCTTTGTCAAATCAACAACATGTTGCTTCTGATCCGCTGTCAACCTACCGACAAATGCGTGACCTTCTAATCTATCAGGTAAACCATGATTATGAACTCCACATTTTACATCAATATTCCATCCAGATCCATCAGTCGCTGGAATTGATCTGATTCTAAATGGACATCCACATTTTTTCGTCGCACTCTGGGTTCCACTATCAATATCTATGTGTTTTCCTCCTTTATCACATCCAAATATTAATTTGTTACTTCTTCCTCTCTGGCCTGTTTTAATATCTGAAGGAGTGATGATAACCGTAACTTTATTTCGAATTCCGATCTCTTTAATCCATCTTATTACCTCTTCTCGTGTACCAAATCTTTGAGTTGTTGAAAAAACATCAGACGTATCTACACATATCTGATCTTTATCACATATTTGTAAAGGAATTTCTGAAATTACATAAAAAAAAATTCAAAAAAAAAATAAAATAAAATAAAAATTTAAAATAAAAAAATTTAAAATAAAAAAAATTAAAAATAAAAAAAATAAAAAATAAAAAAATAAAAACAAAAAATTTTAAAAAAATAAAAATAAAATAATAAAAAATTTAAAAAAAAAAATTGGAAACACGTACCGGAAGACTTCATCAAAGAGTTCCGGTATGCACCACACAAATTACACCATCGGAACTCTTTGATGAAGTCTTCCGGTGAGCACCACTTAAATTACAATACCGGAAGTCTTTTCTGAAGTCTTCCGGTATATTATTTTTGCATTCCGGAACTCTTTAAACATGTGTTCCGGTTTGGAAAAAAAAGCCTACCAGATGTCATTTTTGAAGTCTTCCGATAGACAGTTGGATCAGAACTCTTAAAATATACAAAATAAATAAAATAATAAAATATTAAATATATAAGGATAAAATAGGTATTTTTTTTAAAATGTGGGGGTATGGGTATAAGTGACAGGGTATGAGGTAAAATTTCCTTCTTTTTGAATAGCAGACGTGTTGTTCTTTTTTATCATTTAAAATTCTGCATAATTGGGCTTTAAGCCCATGCTAACTTTCTTGTTCACACCTTATAATGCTATGTGTCCCCGCCCCTTTTTTTTTAGTTAATTTCTTTTTGTGAAAAATTCTTGTTAAGTTTTATTTAATATTTTTTTAATAATTTTATTAATTGATTTGTTAAGTGATCTCAATTAGTTTTTATTAATTTTATTTGTTAGATATTTTGGTTATTTTTGGATTATCTTTTTTATTTTTGATTTTATTCACTTTAATTTCGTTTTGGTCAATGAAGAAGTCAAATGTCACTATTATCGATTTATTGATAAAATAGTGATTTAGATGAGACCGTCATTTTTTTCTTTTCACTTTCTTCTCCATCTTGTTCATCTCTATTTTATTTCAATTTCGATCAATGAAAGTCTTTTATTCGTAAACGTTGATTTATCGAGGTTGATAACTTTCATTATGTCAAATCTGTAAAAAATAATCATTGGGATCATTTTATATACTTTGGGGTTGTAATAGATTGCCTTCAATTAACCGACACTAATTTGTGATTAAGATGAGATCACACCCTTCTTTTTTGGTCCATGTGACACGATTACAATGGAAAATGATCCTCAATATCATTCTTCCATCATGTTTTTAGCACATACATTAACTTGTGCGACCTCTTATAGTTTGATCTTTGTCATAGATCGAGCTACGATGGTTTAGCGCTGCATTTCGTCCCGATTCAATTCACAAATCAACTAACAACTAACTTTACTTTCCGCCAATATATTCTTGTTTTACTTTCAGTCAATATTCTTCTGTTTTATTTTCAGTCAATATATCTTGATTTTATTATCGTGTTCATATACTCGTTAATATTATCTTGATTATACTATTGTGAATATTATCTTGATTATATTGTTATATATCTTGCCATATTATTCATATTATTCATATTATTCATATTCATATTCATCTTGCTCATCTCTTATTCTTTTCAAAACACTTAACAATTATCGAAACAATAAAATCCTAAATTGGTGGACTGTTGGTTATTTGTCCGAGCAACGGATTATTGGACTTTGTCAGAAACCTTAGCTTGGAGATTTTGTCCGACTTATGTTCAAAGCATAGTTTAGAACACCTCACACACACACGACTTTCTCTTGGGCTACCTTAAAACGAGACTTTTTATTTCATGCAATCCCGTGTAACTTACATGTATCTCTCTCCCATTCTGATGTACGTATTCATATTTCTTTGATTGTGGTTTATCTTCTAGAAGCACCCTTAGGGACTAGCATAAACTAACTTATTTTCAAGCTAATTCTCGATTCGTCATCAAGCCATTTTTAAACACCCATCGTAAGTAGAATGCTCTTACGCATTCACCATCAGCCTATCGCATACACTCTCACATTTCATCGTGGTTTCGTTATTAGGAGCACCCTCAGGAGGGACTAGTATCGTTTCTCACAACTTAACCTTTGATTCGTCGTCAAGCAGGTTCTATTTTCAACCAAACCCTCGACTCGTTGTCGAGCCATTTTCAAATCAATTTCCATTCCACCACGTCTTTGCACGCAAGTAAAATCAAACCCTTGATCCAACGTCAAGTAATGTTTTAGCCTAGTTGTAGGTCGAGTGCCTTTTGACTCGCAGTCCACCTCTTTTCGCAACGTATTCGATTCCATCTTTTATTCAAACGCTTTATTAAACAAATAACGAAAGAGGAAGATTTTTGGAGTCTGGCATTCCTTGAACCTTCGAATGAATGGCTCTTGAGGCGCACGCTTTAGGTTGTCGTTCATTCAACCTTTCATCTTAAAACATCTAATATTTATTCAAACATTTTTGTAATCAAATTTACGAAAGAAGGACGTTATTAGAGTCTAGAATTCCTTGAATCTTCGAATGATTAGATCTCGAGGCACGCCCATTGAGTTGTTATTCATTCACTCTTTCAAATTCAAAATGTTCAACCCTTTCTCGAAACCTTTTCAATCAACTCCCAAAAGAACTGAGTTCTTGGAATCTCGCATTCCTTGAACTCTTGAGTGACAGCTCTCGAGGTACGCCCCTTGGGTTGTTTGTCAGTCAATCTTTCGTTTCTCAATTCAAACTTCAACACAATTCACCCCCTCTCTTTTCGTGGTCGTCTCCACGAACTACAAATTCTCTAATTCTTCATTCTCAACTGAATGTAAGATATGTAGGCCCAAGATTGTGATGATCTTGGCGAGCACACTTCCATCCCCTTCCGTTATTTCGTCCATAATTTTATCTATTTCCTGTTTCCCCCACATCCTTTCCCGTAGTCGAACTACGACACTCTAATTTCTCATTCTCGTCCGAATGAGCATACGTAGGCACGAGGGCCCCAATCCTTGGCGAACACCCTATCCTATAACCACCAATTTCCCTCTAGCATCTTTATCCCTTTATCGTACCAATTTGCATTTATCGTTGAGAAGAAAATAAGCAAGCTTAGATAACGCCCATCGCAAATCGTACTAAGAGGTTCCCGTTGAGTACAACGGACGTGAGGGGTGCTAATACCTTCCCCTTACGTAACTGGCTCCCGAACCCGGAACATTGGTTACGACGACCGTGTTCCTGTCCTTTCGTTTTAAAAGGTTTTCTCGATATTTTCCTTTCCCTCTCTTTGGGATAAATAAAGTTCGGTGGCGACTCTGTCGAACCGTATTTTTGCGCCTTTAGCGCGAAAATCGTGTTT